GGGCCGCGGGGGCAGGGGGGTGTCCCCAGCAGACCACAGGCACTGGGACTGAAGCAGCAGCAGCGGCGGTTCCCCGCGCTTCTGAGGCTTTGCTCTGGCAAGAAAGCCCCGTTTGTAAGTGCGGATCCGACATAAGTCGGATCCGCGTAAGTCGGGGACTGCCTGTAATCTCTCAAAGCTAGTCACTTTGAACTTTCCTTATTTAACCTGAAGCACATTGAACAGGTCTGAGGTTGTTAGGGTGGCAACTGAAGCAGCAGCAGCGGCGGTTCCCCGCGCTTCTGAGGCTTTGCTCTGGCAAGAAAGCCCCGTTTGTAAGTGCGGATCCGACATAAGTCGGATCCGCGTAAGTCGGGGACTGCCTGTAATCTCTCAAAGCTAGTCACTTTGAACTTTCCTTATTTAACCTGAAGCACATTGAACAGGTCTGAGGTTGTTAGGGTGGCACAAGATCAGCCTTTAGCCATGCTCAAGGCTAACTACATTCATGCATACATGTTCAGCGAATTAAGATGTATAACAGGAAGGAGAGAGAGAGAGAGAGAGATTTTGAAATGCCTTTTCCCCCTTTTTCAACCTTGCTGCCAAAAAATGATTTTCCCAATCTTCTGTATTTAGGTTTTAGAATCTGTTTTGGTAGGATTTTAAAATATGCCAAAAAAATCCACTGTCTGCTTGAAGTCTAGTTAGATTTCAAACATGGAGTTAAGCAGATACTGCATCTGCCCAGAATCTCTTGCCAGTTACTTTGGTTTTTTAAGTTCTCTTATCCAGTTTTTAAAAATGTTTTGTTTCCTTGCTATGTAATATTTTTAGGTTGACAGCATCTTTTAAAAAAAACTCTTTCCAATCTCACTTTCCATGCTACTAAACTCTCCTGTGACATTTTTTGTCATCACTTTCTAAAAAAAGTTCAAAAGAAAAAATTAAGTGGGAAGTTTGATTCTTCTCCTTCCTCTTTCCTGCCTCGGCTGCTCAAAATGGTGCTGCCCTATCAAAGGAAATTCTTAGCCATAACAATAGACTTCCCTTTCTGATAGCTCTAGTTATTTATTTTTGGAGGAAACACCACTGTCTGTGTAGGTCTTTTGGGCTGTTACAGGGATTTACAGTAGCTAGATTATCCTGGTGCTTAAATAAAAGGGAATTGGTGTTCACATTAAAATAAAATTAGTTTGTATGATGGGAGAGGCAGAAGAGAAGTGGAAACAGGTGATTACTCCAAAGGCTAAATATAAGCTTGGTGGACAACAGAAAGGATGGTATTTTAGGTTATGAAAAGAAACAGAATTCAGAAGATCTGAGTTTAATTCCTGTCTCTATCATAAAAATCTAATGTAACTTTGGGAAAATTACTTAATCTCATTCTGCCTTCATTTCACCACTGATTACAGATGGAGCTAAAGCTGGTCCCACTTAACAGAATTGTGGAGACATACATGACTAAACATTAGTGTGCTTCTTTAGGACCGTCTTGGAATATGCCAAACAAATCAAAAGTACTGTTAATGAACCTCTGGCTGGGTAAATCATTTAATTCCAAAGGATGTGCTATTTTCTTCAATTTAGCTGGAAGTTTGGAATAAGTTCTTAAAGTATTTTGTGGTGAACAACTGGGATAGAGGAATGGAATATTCCTCAAGTCATGCTGGGGCACGAAATAAACTTATCTATTTATATAAAAATTGTAATATGTGAATATATCCTGACTTCCATCTGTGTTGTGTGATGAGCTTCAGGTAATCTCTAGATGCCTAACTGAAAAAGGTTTCAAATTATTTATTTACAGTAAAATTAATTTTAAGTATAGCAATCTAATTTAGAAAATATATCAAACTTGGACTGTTGCAGCCGTGTGGTTAGAGTAAGTATGGAATTACATATTTTTATATGGTACAGTGACTTTTGGAGCTACAAAACTAAAGCTGCTTATTTGAAGTAAATTCCTTTTTTTGTTTTGTAGCAAATGGTCAGCAGAAGCCTCAGGCCGCAGTCATGCTATGCCACACATTAAGACTTACATGAGGCCATCTCCTGACTTCCAGAAGATTGCATGGTTTTTAGTCACAAGGTAAATGAACTATACATTCCTAATTACTACAAACTAAGACTGCAGGCCATATTTCCATGATGGAGGACATGGTCCTGGAAAGCAGTAACTACAGAACAAGATTTGGGGGTTGTGGTAAATAATCAATTGAATATGAGTTCCTAGTGTTACACTGTGGCCAAAAGGCTAATATAGTCCTTGAGTGCAAATACACAGGACTCTGCAGTAGGAGTAGAAAAGTTATTTTCATTGGTGTGATCGCTTCTGGAGCAAAGTGTCCTGATCTGGTGTCCACAGATGAAGAAGAATGTTGATAAATTTGGAGAGGGTTTAGAGAAGACGCCTAAAATGATCAAAGGATTAGAACATATCTCATAACCTGTTCCCTCTAAGATTTTCCATCCATGAGCAGAGTGAGTTCTGTCTTGTGCGCCAACAATAAAGGCACGTGTGCTTATTTGGATGTGTGCCACTGTGGCACCCACCAGTGACATGGCTCTGAGAGACAGTATACACACACACACACACACACACCTCTCATGGGAGAAGGTGAGACATGCCTGCCCACCCACCCAGGAAGCATTGCTCCCTAGGTCATTTGTGTGCAGGGCAGGGGATGCCCCTTGTGGGGCTGTCTGTGAGCCCCCACCTGGCAGCAGCTTCCTTCTGCTCCAGCACCCAGCATCTGCAGAGATTGCTCCACCCACAGCACCTCACTAACATATGTGGGGTGGGGTTAGGAACCAGGAGGCTCTGAGGGGGAGAAGGAAAGATGAGGGAGGGGGGAAACAGAGATGCCAGAGCAGGCACTGGCCCCCTCACCACATGACCAGAGCAGGCTCTGCGGGCCCCAGCCAGCCCCCACCACATGGCCTT